AAAAACATCACTTTGATGTTTTCCGGAAAGCTTTCTTTCTAAAGATGACCACACATCCTTTAGTCTTGGTATTTCTAACTTCAATGACATTTTGCTCAGATGAAGAAAAAGTGGCATTACTGGATTGGAGAATGCGATACCAGATCATTTTAGGAATTGCTAGAGGACTTCTCTATCTTCACCAAGATTCGAGATTCAGAATCATCCATAGGGACCTTAAAGCTGGAAACATCCTTCTCGACAAAGATATGATTCCCAAAATTTCAGACTTTGGTTTGGCCAGACTTTTTGGAGAACATGAGACGGAAACACAGACAAGGAGAGTAGTCGGGACATAGTAAGAGATATCCATCTTTGATAGTGATTGTTCAACTTAGTTTCAGTTACTGAAATACTTAATTTAGCGTTTGATTGAATGTAGTGGTTACATGCCTCCAGAGTATGCATTGAATGGGATCATCTCAGTGAAATCCGATGTATTCAGCTTTGGGGTTTTAGTGTTAGAAATCATTAGCGGAAAGAGAAATAAAGGGGTATATCTCTCTGCGGCCGAGGGATATCTCTTAGGAAAGGTAAGTACAATTAGCTACATCTAATTATTGTCGATACATGGCTTATTTCTGGTTTTAATTCTTCCAGGCATGGACATTGTGGAAAGAAGGTAACGGCTTGCAACTAATTGATGTGTCATTGGATGCCTCAGTTTTTATGACTGAAATTCTAAGATGCATGAAAGTGGGGCTTCTTTGTGTCCAAGAGCAACCGGAGGATAGACCGATCATGTCATCCGTTGTTTTGATGTTAGGCAGTGATCATGCTTTTCTGCCAGAGCCTAAACAACCTGGTTTTATGGCAAGGACATCTCCTACAGGGAGTCCATCTCCAGTGAAGGATAGCTCTAGTATAAACGATCTAACACTTACTATGTCTTTAGGTAGATAATTATTAGAGTGTTTGTTACATGGGTCTGTTAGTGGGTGATACCCACTAAACCCTTTTACTAGTTAATTATGGTATGACTTTTATTCCAAGTCTTCTTGTCTGGTACCATTATGATATTGATTTTTATTTCAAGGGGTGAAACATCTAATAATTAATTATCTGGGTTTCTTTTCTTTGACAATAATGAACTCCTCTGCATCCTTGCTGATGTAGTTATCATCATTGTCTAATTTATTTTCTGACATCGACGTATCATCTCTACAAAGATATTCAGCTTTTCCGGATAAAGCAAATTGGAAGCACTCTACAGTTCAACTTTCTCCGTGGGATATTTTGCAACAAGTCATATAATTAGAAGCCCCTTCGTGAATGGGGCACCTTCTTTTGGTTTGTTTTAATGGTGTAAGATTGATGTAAAATGTCAAAAAACAATCCATTCAAACCTTCAGGCTCATTTGTCATATGGAACAGAACCCTTTAGGCTACTCTGCACAAAACGATTCGAACAGAACCTTTTGATGATCGATTCATCAATGTCTTTTTATTTTGATAGACCTGAAACTTAACGTTGCTATTTCCAGTTATTGTTATGCAAATTCTGACGGTTACTATTTCGAACTAGCCAATATGAGAAGTACAAGTTATGGATAGTGATAGATTGGTGAAAGGTGAAATGTTCTATGTTGATGCTACCTCTAGGCTTTGTTATGGTAATTTTGATTAGTCCAATTTTACATGAGCAAGAACCTAGTTATGTTAATTACCCATCATTTTATCAGCGTGTGATGACTATCAAAGAAACATCATATAAATTTCTTTCTTTATGTTTCATGACAGAAATTTAAATCTCAATCCTTCTTAGCTGTTGCAAGTTGGATAATCACCCAATAGAATTGTTATCCTCTGTGTTACCCGTATTATGGTGCAGGTCTTTGCCTGTTTACCTCTGAAACAAGGAGTCAGTAAGATGATCATCTAGTAAACAATCTTGTATTTCTTATCTTTTGCACAATACAAGATTAGAATTAGCGACGGCAAATAATTAATCTTTAGGACAGTCAGACTTTAACATGTAAAGCTTAATGTTTGAGCTTTTATTCTTGCATAACACAGAGATGAACAACACCTACTAATCTTGTATTTTTCATACGTCGCTATTACTCCTTGCATCATTGTCTTTATATTTAATTCAGTGTGTTCTTTTTTACTCAACCACAACCATCCAATTGCAGGGCCCATGTTTGAAACCTATGTGTGGAATATAAGTATGGATGCATTATGCATACGATTGATCCAGATTTCAAAGGTTAATTTTCGATTCAAAGGTGGGATGTTGATGGAGCAAGTCACAATCTTTTTCCGAATGACATTCAAAGTTCTTATTATGGTAACATTTGAATATTGAATATCATCTGCGTATTGAAATATGTATGCATACGGAGGACTTCACGGCACTCAAAGTTGCACCACCAACCTACTATCTCATTCCTACAAAGACACCCTACATGAAACTTGTTTTGTAAACCATGAGCAAATCACTCAGGAAACCGTTATTCTACCTGATCATTTTTCTCTCTCTTTACCCCTCCACTTCCAGGGACTCCCTTACCCCTACCACGAATCTTGCCGATGGAAATGTCTTGCTTTCATCTACCGGAACCTTTGCACTGGGATTCTTTACCCCTGACAACTCCACCACCAGCAACAGATACATTGGCATATGGTACAACAAAATACCACTAGTAGAATAATAAATATCCTAGACGGATTATTGCAGACGGAAAATTTTCCGTCTAGAATACTTAATTCTAGACGGAAAATTTCTATCGAGGAAATTCCGTCTAGAATATTATATTCTAGACGGAAATTTCCGTCTGTAATAGTATTGCAGACGAATTTTTTTTTTAATTTTTTTTTTGAAATTTACCGATTATCCTAGACGGAAATTTCCGTCTAGGATACAACCTAGACGGAAATTTCCGTCTAGGTTGTTAGGTTCAGTTTATATATCATAAAACCTGCAGCTCGAGCCCTAAATCCCCAAATCTTGATTTTCGCTCGCCTTTCTCTCTCTCGATCACGATCATCTGGCCCGTCGTCGCCGGAGTCCTCAGATCTCGTTCAACAGCCTCGCCGTCGCCGTCGTCGCCGTCGAAGCCCTAAATCCCTCTGTCGTCGGAGCCCTAAATCCCTCAGATCTCATCGGAGCCCTAAATCCCTCTGTCGTCGGAGCCCTAAATCCCTCTGTCGTCGCCGTCGAAGCCCTAAATCCCTTTGTCGTCGGAGCCCTAAATCCCTCAGATCTCGTCGGAGCCCTAAATCCCTCTGTCGTCGCCGTCGCCTTCTTCCTCGCCGTCCCGTCGTCCCCCTCTGTCGAAAAACTCCGGTACGGTGAGGTTATGTTTCGATCTTTCTCAAACCCTAGTTTTCTCAAACCCTAGTTTTCTCAAGCCCTAGAAATCTCTTTGGCTAAACCTTAAGATGATCTAATTTCTATAGAAATTAGCTAATTACACTTGATGTACGTAATTGATATAATTAACTAGAACATATACCATTTTCTAAATGAGCTAATGTCCACAGTTTGATTTGCTCGATGTTGACGGCAATGGCTGAGGTCCAAGGAGAGCAATGTATATATTTGGATCCTCTCGAAACAGTAGTATTTTAGATGGTTACGGTTAATTCCTTATACAACTAAAACTATCATGTGGATACTAGTACTAGGATAAAATTATAACCATCAACGGTATTACAACTTGAGGATGTTTTAATACGTTGATTATAATTCTAAGCCGGAACCGGGCCGGTTCACATTCGAATCTTATAGTGCAATTATTTAAAGTGCTAAAATAGTATTGATTAGAAAAATAGTTCAAGGCAGATGAAAATGGTGTTCAACTTGTGAAGACACGTTAGAATATAAAAATATAACTCTTAACCCCGATACACTTGTTGAATTTTGGCGTCGAGGAATAAACTTAATTTGAAACATTTTTTTTTACTGTTCAAGACAAATCTTAACAGTCTGCTAAACAATTGGTGATTGTTATGAAGATTGAAATATTTCTTCAAAAAACAAGTTGGTTGGTGGAGAGGATCCCACTTCGGAGAGCAATGATTTCTCTACTTAGAAACTTATAGACTTAATTAAGAGAATGACATTATTGTACAGTTGAATGTTTGTGTTTGATTATTATGAGTCTATAATGATGTTTGTAGCCTTTCCTTCATTGGCAACTTCTATTTCTGTTATCTTGTTTTGCTAGTTAAGCCCACAAGGATCTCATGTTTATTAAACAGTTTGTGATTTGAATTGTACAAATGTGATTATATAGGTTTGTGATTTGCAAATGTGTGAGTTATGGAAGAAAAAGTTTTTAAAAAATAGAGTGATATATAACGCAATATTATATAATAATGTGTTATATATCCAATTTAGGTAAAAAATATAACGTTAACCCTAGACTCCCTTCCAATAATTACAGCCAATTCTTTGAGGTTATAATATAAGATGAAGGAGTCAAATTTGGGTAAGAGGTAAATTTTCCTACTCGAAATTTATCGCTCACTTAATATTATAATAGAGATGAATTTGTATAGAAATTTGTAATTATTGGATCTGTTCTTCTCGGACAGGTTAGGAATATAGTAGTGCATACATCCAACTTTGTATACTTTGTATGATTTTATTTCTTAAAAATTTTGGCAGCTCGTACCTGTTGTTCTCCGTGTACAATAAGCGTATGTTGTTCTGTGTTTTGATATGTTGTCAGTGCGCATAACAACATCCGCACAGTGTACATGGAGAACAGCGGGTAGGTGCTGCCGAAATTTTTAAAAAATAAAAATATACAAAGTATATGAAGTTGGATGTAAGCACTATTATATTCTTAATGGGATAGAAGCCTTCCTATAACAGCCGTTAGAGTGTGCTAATTAGTCTCCATACCTTAATGCCGATACTTAAATGCAACAATGTATGTTTTGAATAGTTTAAAATTTTTGGGTATACTATCTATTCTCAAATAGAGTTTCTAAATATATATTATCTACAGATGAGGAATATTCCTGACAAGTCATGGATAGATATCCCTAGGAGTGAACAGTTTCGTGATCAACGTTATGTCGATGGATGTGAAGCCTTCATGAAGTATGCCGAAATGAACCCAAAAAATTTAAGTAGCGGTGCAATGTACTACCCCTGTTATAGGTGTAAGAATATGAAGCTGAAAAATAAAGATGAAATACGAAGTCACTTAGCAAACTCTGGTTTTTACGAGGAATATAAATACTGGTCCTATCACGGGGAAGGTCGTACCGAAGATGAAGTCCCGGATGTGCATGTCGATACCAGTCATGGTGTCAGGATAGATGATACAGAAGTAAATTTACAAACTGATATCGGACCCGACCATACCGAATATGATATTAACAATGACAATGAAGATGATATCATAGTTGATGTCCAAGATGCTCATGCTCCTAAGGACTTGGATCGTATAATGAAACTACTAGAGGATAGTGAAAATGATCTGTATGAGGGTTGCACCGACTACTCCAGATTTTCATTTATCTTGGAGCTTTTACATATTAAGAGCCTCAGTGGAATGGCAAATACTTATTTCAAAATGCTTCTTGATTTGCTGCGGAAGGTGGTTCTAGGAGGAGAGCGTAGCATTCCTAAAACAACTTATGCGGCAAAGCAAATAGTTTCCGATTTAGGGCTTGATTACAATAAGATTGATGCGTGTCCCAATGATTGTATTCTCTACTACAAGGATAATAAAGACCTTCAGGCATGCCCTACATGTGGAGTTTCTCGATGGAAACAACAAACCCGCTCTTCAACAAGGCAGCCAACAGAGTCAATGTCCCAGCAGAGCATGATTCCAGCTAAGGTGCTTCGTCATTTCCCGTTAGTTTCCAGATTACAACGTCTGTATATGAACAAAGACACTGCTAAGAACATGAGGTGGCACAAAGAAGATCGTATAGAAGATGGTAAGCTGAGACATCCAGCTGATGCAGAGGCTTGGAAGCATATTGATAAGACTTTTCCCAATTTTGCTCATGAATGCAGAAATGTCAGACTTGGGCTTTCTAGCGACGGATTCAATCCGTTCGGGGTTATGAGTTTAGGTTGGTCTACATTTTCAGTTGTCTTAATGCCATATAATTTACCCCCACTGCTTTGTATGAAACAACCGTATATGATACTCTCATTACTGATACCGGGTAAGCATGCACCGGGTAATGATATTGATGTCTACTTAGAGCCCTTAATTGATGAGCTAAAACAGTTATGGTCGGAGGGTATGTTGATATATGATGCCCATGCTAAAGAGTCATTTAGACTTCGTGCTATCCTAATGTGGATAATTAATGATTTTTCAGCTTATGCTAATCTTTCTGGTTGGTCGACAAAAGGCAAGTTTGCTTGTCCAATATGTGGCCCAGAATTTGAAGGCCTTCACTTACCATATAGTCGAAAGTGTTGTTATTGGTTCAACAGGAGATGGTTGCCCTCGGGGCACAAATACAGAAAATTGAGCAATAAATTTGACGGCACTGTTGAGACTAGGAATAAACCACGTCAAATGACCGGTGCTGATATTGTAAAGTTGCTTGAGCATCTACCTAATATTAGATTTGGTAAGAACCGACATTCTAAGTATGACTCACTCAAAGCTAGAGGCTCCTGCAAAAAGAAAAAGACACTGAAGAGGAAGAGAGCATTCCAACGAGCACATGTTGATAATGGAGTTGATAAATTACCAAAGGGATGGAGTAAATTCAGTATCTTCTTCCAGCTGTCATACTGGCAAAAGCTTAAAATCAGGCATAACTTGGATGTCATGCATATTGAGAAAAATATTTGTGACAACATAGTTTCAACCCTCCTTCAAGATCCTAATAAGTCAAAGGATGACCTAAGGGCTCGTCAAGACTTAGCTCCGTTGAATATTCGAGAAGATTTGCAAGCACGAGATGTTGGACTTAAAAAAAACATAAGCCTTCCTCTCGTGTTACGATGTCGACAGAGCAGATGCAGAGATTTTGCGAGGTCCTGAAATCAGTAAAATCACCGGATGGGTATTCAGTTAATATATCAAATAATATCCAGGTGCAGGAGAGGAAGGTCTTAGGCCTAAAGACCCATGATTATCACGTTCTTCTACATCAATTGCTCCCGGTTGCATTGCGTAATAATATGGAGAAAGAAGCATCAAAAATTATTATGGAGTATTGTGGGTTCTTCAGAAAATTGTGCTCGAAAGTTATAGATGTGAAGGAATTTAAAAAGCTTGAAACAAAAATATTATTAATTTTATGCAACCTGGAGTTAATATTTCCTCCTTCCTTTTTCACGATCATGGTCCACGTTACTCAACATCTAGCTAGCGAGGCAATCATTGCGGGTCCTGTATCTTACCGTTGGATGTACCCAATTGAGAGGTAAGGGACTTCACCCAGTGCATTAATTTCATATGCAATGTATACAGCTAATATTTGTCCTTTTCGTGATTTTCTTTAGATTAGATATTTGTAGTTCATAAAATTTTAATTATTGTAGATATTTGGGGTTTATGAAGCGTCTAGTTCGCAATCGAGCTCATCCTGAGGGTTCTATGGCTGAAGGTTACGTGACCAACGAATGTCATACGTTTGCATCACGTTACATGCGCAACCGCGTAAAAGCTGATCAGCCCCCAACTAAGGAGAAGAAACTCGTAACAGGAATGCAGCACATGATATCCAAAAAAAGCACATCAAAGATTTTCCCGATTGGTTCAGAACCGATGTAAGTAGCGTAGAAGTAGTATTGTATTTTTTATTTTTAAATTTTTAAGCAAACTCGGAGATCATTTTATTCAATTGATGCTTGAATTAGGTTGATAAAGACGTTCTTGCTGGTGCCGTAATCTCTGAAGATATTTTAGTTCACACACAATGTCCTTACTATGAAGTGAGACGATATAGTGAACACATCATTAATGGGTATAAGTTTAAAAACAGTGGCGACCGATGATAAGAGGGTAACGCAAAATAGTGGGGTCATTGTCTGTTTTGCTCAGGAATGTTTTTCTAGCATAAGAGATCAAAACCCAGTTTAAGCTGACATCTTATATTATGGCCAGTTGGAAGATATTGTAGAGATAATTTACGGCTATGGTAAAAAAAGTCAGCGTAATTATTGCATGTTTAAGGTTCGCTGGAGTCCTGCCAAACCGCGCAAGGATCATTATGGGTTTACACTAGTAAACCTCGACAAAGAGATATATCTAGATGAGAAGTTCATATTCGCAGAACAGGCGGACCGGTGCTTCTTTGTGAAAGACCCAAAGGTTGCTGCTGATTGGGTCGTGCTATACAAGGAGCCAAGATCTATTGTCCTCCCTAATAATAATGCCGATAGCGATGAGGACAATGAACCAATTGGTTCTTCTGATGAAATTTGGCAGAATTTCTCTTACCCTCAGAATGTCATGCTTGATATGACAGATGCGGAGATTCAGGGTGACAACCTAATTTTAGTCAGGGATAAAGAACCAGAGGTAGATGTGCAACTAGAATCAACTACTAGTAGACGAAAACAGGCAACGTTAAATATAGCCCGAACAATACAAACAATACCTCGTTCAATACGAAAATAGCAAGTTGTAGAAGGTATATTATGTATGTCATTTTGTGCGCGAATGTTATTTAAATGTTTAATTGCAATAAATGTTTATCTTGTGAATTAGTAGGCAAATATTTCGTATTGAACTCTCCTAATTCCATGTTACAGATGAAGAACTCGAGGTTATTCGATCGATCGCGTGATCGGTCACGATCTACGAGCCTAGGCTCAGAACAGCTTCAGGAGGCCCTAGGCTCAGAACAGCTTTAGGAGGCACACATTTCAGATTTGCCTACGTTACTCATGCAGATGACGACGGCTATGTGTTCAGATTTGCCTCCATCCTCTACTAGCGACGATGTTTTTAGACACATCGTTTTATGCTTGTCTGGGAAGATTTCAGCTGAATTATTTGGAGAAGTTTTGGACCAAATAGATTTAGACGCTGGCGCATAGGTAAATTAATAATATGTCTTATATTGTTAAATTTCATTCTCTAAATGTAAATCTATTTATTTTCAGGCTGGACTTGCTGGAGGAAGCAGTAGTGGCGTGTAGAGGAGGGAACTTGACGATGATGATGCTTCTTGATTTTATGAGGTAAGTTAGTTAATTGTATGTGTGTATGTGTATGTAGAGACAAGTTGCAAGAAAATTTTGTATATTAGTCTTATCACAACAAAAAGCTCCATGCATGACTCACTAGTTAAATTGTGCCAGTTTTGGCTAGGATAACATATGCATGCAATTAGTTGACAAGATGAATGTTTTAGTTGAAATTTGCATGCAAAGAAGTTTAAACATGTATATATATATCGTTTAGCAATATGCATGGTTATATATACCTTTGTAATTAAGTTGAAATTTCACAAGTTTCCTTGCCCTCTTATACATTTTTTGTGATTTTTAATAGAATTACTTGGGTACTTTGTAATTAGGTTGATAAAGACATGCCAAGTGATTGCATATTGTCCACACAACACAACATGGCACTGATATGAATATGATAGATCTAGTGCCGGAATGTGATTGTATATCGTCCACACAACACAACATGGTTAAACTTCAGACAAGTTTGAGCTTTTGGTTCTTAATCTCCCAAAAAAGTTCAAAACTCTTATTAAACTCCTAATAAGTTCAGAAATTTCAGAAAATCCCCAAAATATTTTTAACCTTTTTGGTTAACCCTTATGGCGATGTAAGTCCATACCCTTGATTTCCCAAACAGAGAATATTGATCGCATAGACATCATAAAGTAGTCAGTGGGGTTAAGTGAAAAACATCAAAATGTTTGGGAGAGTTTTCTAAAAGTTCCCAAGTCTGACATGACAGCTTCAAACTTTTTGGGGGTTAATTAAGTGGCAAAGGCCGAAACTTATTACGGATTTAGTGAAATTTATCCAAAAATTTAATACTGGCCTCAATAATCAGGTGAGGGTTTGAGGCTTTTTTTTTCCCGATTGTATTAATTAATTAATTAATTCATATCGCATGCATTGTATCATAGCATAGCTTGTTTTAAACCAGCAATATTGTAGCTTTCCCCAAAAGAATTGGATCATTTTGTTCTCCATGACTCTATCTGAAATCTGATATGCCTTTGTTGAGCAATAGAATGACTGCCTTTTATAAAGTATTTTGTTTAAATCATGGCTCTAACTTTGAATAATAAATAAATAAATAAAAATCCATGGCTATCTGTCTATCTACCTAGCTTTGGTCTTCATAACAATAATTGATCACCAAATGCCTAATTTTTAAATCAATATTTAACTAATTAAGTCTTGGATATCATATAGTTATTGAGTGCAAGCTTTCAACTTATACTTTAGGTGACAGGTAGACTGATATTTGTTTAAGCTCGAGTTGTTATATTATCATTGCTTGAAGGTTGAAATATATGTGTAAAAGCTACCTCCAAAGTACAAGATCTAACAGAATCCTCATTCATGCTTAAAATTATTTTTTAACGTAGTTAAAGTATAATATTAAACACAATTAGGCCAATGGGCACTTGTTAATCAACCTGGCCTTCTCAATTATGCTTTTTTCTCCTACTTCATGTTTCTTTCTCTAGACTAGCAAGCATGAGCAAGTGCTAATGCCATAAGACATATCTAAATTGATGCATACTAGAACTTATCTCCGATGGGGTAAATGTAAATATTATTTAATTTCTTGAGATATTTGTTAATTTTCTTATGAAAGTCATAGGCATTTGGTATTCTCTAATTAACTAGTCTCATGAAGGTGCCAACTCGATCCTATTCATTTCATTGGACTAGTGTGATAGATACATCAATATTACGAGGTACTACTTGAGATTATTTTATCCGTGATGTCGTATAAAAAGTATAAGACAAGTTAGTGCTGAGTAGTGTGAACTTTGCGTCTTAGGAACTACGCGCACACAACTTTATTCTAGTCATGAATAGCCAAAGTGACATCAAAAGAATTAAAATTCATCATGACTTATTGTTAAGACATGTGATTAAGGATTTGTTTATCTGGTGGTGGGCTTAATGTGGCCTGACGTATGATATATCCAACATTACTAAGCATACTTCTAAATTTAATTAGGAATATATATATCATATTCTTAAAAATAATGTCACCTTCTTTTATCTTGCAGGTGCATGTGTTTCATTAGGAATATATATATCATATTCTTAAAAATAATGTCACCTTCTTTTATCTTGCAGGTGCATGTGTTTCTTTGAGCATCTCTAGAGAAAAATCTTAAAAATAATGTCACCTTCTTTTATCTTGCAGGTGCATGTGTTTCTTTGAGCATCTCTAGAGAAAAAAATGCTCGTGGACTTGGATATCGGTTTGTAAATCGTTGTCGTATTTTTAAATCATAACTTTCTTTGTGTTGAGCCCAAAACAAACAGTGAGTTGATTGAGTTGCGCTGCAAATTTATATGCGTATATGTGGATGATTATAAGTTGGCAGACTTAAGAGAGAGATGATATGTATGAAAAATCATGTGTGACTTTGTTGTGATTTTTATTGTTGATTATATATGTGATTTTTATTGTGATTATATATGTGTAAACTGGATTATACAGGTATACAGCCAATTGTGAAATTTGTGTGATTTACAGGTATACAGCCAATTTCGAGATAGCATAATATTGGAAAGAAAGTATCCCAGACGGATTTTTTACATCCCAGACGGAAATATCCGCCTGGGATGTAAAAACGTTTGGGTTGATATTGGACAACCCAGACGAAAAATTCCGTCTGGGTTAAGTATCACAGACGGAAATGAATTCCGTCTGTGATACTTAACCCAGACAGAATTTTCCGTCTGGGTTGTCCAATATCCCAGACGGAAAATTCTGTCTGCATTAACTAACCCAGACGGAAATTTCCGTCTGGGATATTGATTAACTCAGACGAAAAATTCCGTCTGTGATGTATCCCAGACGGATACATCCCAGAC